GTAAGAACTGACAGGATGTTTTCTAGATACCCCCCCCCCCCCATTTAACATTTAAATTTGAAATAGTTTAAATATACTTCTACTAATGAAAAAAAAAACATGCATACAATATCTTATATAAGGACAACAGATACATTCATTTTTGCAGTAAAAATCAATGGACTGCAAGTACCGCAGGGACAAATTTTAGATTCTTTACAACTTAATTATTACATACTGTACACGTTTCTCTACATAAAAAAATCAATGCAAACGGTATCATATAGGAACGGAAGACCTTTTTGTTGCCATGGCAACAAGAGTCTAGTTATTATTATTATTATTTTTCTTCCTGGGTACTTTTTTGTCCGTGAGTGATCTCCGAAACTATACATCCGATTGAGTTGAAACCTTTTTAGGGTTAGTAGGAATGTTATGTAGATTTGCGGAACGAAGGTCATTTTGCGCGCACGTGCATGCACGTGCGTGCGCGTGCAATGAGTAAAATGACCATTATACTTGATATAGCCATAACTTTTATATCTTTTGATGAAATACTTTGATACTCAGAATATAAGGATATATTAATAGTGTTGACAAGATGACATGGTCAGAATGTACATGCATGCACGTGCGCGCATGCGCATTGATTGAAATAACCAATACAATTGATATAGACTTTACTTGTACATTTTTTGATGAATTGCTTTGAAACTCAGAATATAAATATATATTAGAAGTGTAGACAAGAAGACTTGATCAGCGCACACATGCATGCACGTGCGTGCGCGTGCAATGAGTAAAATGACAAATATACTTGATATAGCCATAACTTTCATATCTTTTGATGAAATGCTTTGATACTCAGGATATCAGGATATATTAATAGTGTAGACAAGATGACATGGTCAGAATGCACATGCATGCACGTGTGCGCATGCGTATTGATTGAAATAACCAATACAATTGATATAGACTTTACTTGTACATTTTTTGATGAATTGCTTTGAAACTCAGAATATAAATATATATTAGAAGTATAGACAAGATGACATGATCAGTGCGCACATGCATGCATTTGCATGCACGTGCGTGCGCGTGCAATGAGTAAAATGACCAATATACTTGATATAGCCAGATCTTTTACATTTTTTGATGTAATGCTTTGATACTCGGAATATATAGACATATTATAAATGAAGACAAGACGACATTGTCAACATGCATATGCATGCACGTGCGCGCGCATGCAATGCTAAAATGACCAATATACTTGATATAGCTGTAACTTTTATACTTTTTGATGAAATGATTTGATACCCAAAATATGTAGATATATTAATAGTGTTGACAAGATGACATGATCATCATGGACATGCATGCACGTGCGCGCACGTGCAATGCGTAAAATGATAGATATACTTAATATAGCCGATTTTTTTTTATCTTTCAATGAAATTTGAATTTAAAGATGTATTAAAAGTGTAGACAAGTTGACATGGTCATTTTGTACATGCATGCCCGTGCGCGCGAGTGTAATGCGTAAAAAACCCCCAATATACTTGATTGCCTTATTTAATGAAGCTTACAGGGAATAAGACACCAAAAGGAAGTTGGGGAGCGTTTGGGGAACATCTGTAACGGTCCCCGTTACAATTAATACTAGTTACAATAGAATTTACTTTTTGTGTCAAAGATGTCACGGTAAATTGTATGGAACACAAGCTGTTATTTATCAAACAATCTTTTCGGGGTCATGGAACCTTTTCATTCTTTTATGTCATATAAGAACCACTGGAACCCACATGTGACCTTGACCTTAGTGTGAAATTACTAATTTCTTTAAGAAGCCAATCGCCACCAATACGGCCTTTTATTCTCTTAACATGTATATAGACTTATGATATTTGGCATGTTGTTGTACCATTAAAAGACAATGTTCTGAGCAGATATATACATACTTGAATGTTTTCTTTTCATTTATTTATTTTTGTTCCACACCGAGAAACAATCATGATTTGGACTCATGAGTTTTACATTATACAAAACAAACTTCCTTGTAAAGTATGTTTTGAAACGTACATCAAAGAGTTTTATGTAAACGTCAGATTTACTGGTTTATTGTTTCTTACCACTATTTCTTAATAAATGGCATGCTCTTCATTTCACAATTTGGATTTCCTACCCCCAGATGGTGTATTACAGAGAACACTAAAATCCTGCTACATGACACATACAGATGATGGGTGTTGTTCCATCAGGAAAACTCAAGTCTTTAACTCGGGATATGTTAGGAACATCTAAACAGTTGTAAAACTTTGAACCTTTTATGTAGCATACCTTCATAAAAATGTTTCTTTATGCCTTTAGAAACCATGGTAAAACAAAACATAACACCTGAATGATTTAATATGTCTTTCATCAAGATACACATAATATACTGATATTAAATTTCTGTTGTTATAAATAAATAACAATGAATAATAACAATAAAAACAAACAAATAAATCTGGTCAAACAAGGCATACACAGACATTAACAACAAGAGGCCCAGGGGCCTTAACGGTCACCTGAGTACAATACAACAATTTAGAGGATCCATAAACTGATAAATGAAGCTTTGTTGCCCAACAGCAAGAAAAATAGTATGATTAGCATCAACAAAATAATTGGTCTAGTATCTATCTGCCCCACCCCCTCCCCCCATTTATCACTATTCCCATGCAGACTATTAGCAAAATGTCTATTATTTAACCCCATATTATTCCTTATCACAATGGCCTCTCTTGGCTGTTGAAGAACATTTAAAAAGATAAATTATTTTTGTCTCATTTTTATTCATCTATTATTTCCAAGTCATTAAAACTATGATTTATTTTATTATACAATAAATTTTCTTGCATAATTCTCTAATTCTCTTATTCTATTAAGCTTTCAAATACATTATGTAATTTGATTAATTATCAAAGGTGAATGGCAAAGGGGAATAACTTTGCTCAGTAGAATACAAGTTAATATAGCCCTGGCCAGGACCAGAAAACTTGACTAAATGGTCCAGGTGTTCAAAATTCTGGTAAAAATACCCTTGCATATTTAAACTTTTACTCTGTTTGCCTTGAACATCCAGAGAAGCATAGACGATTTTCAAAGAAATGCATTTTCACCATATTATTAAATAAATAAAGCCCCATCCTTACACCAGAACATCTGACCCATTGGCCACAAACTCACAATTCTGGAAGAAGCACCCTTTATCATCGTAACTATACACTTGTTTCTTTAGTTTATAACCAGTAGTAGATAAAAAAAATTGAAAGAAATTATGCATTTTCACTATATACATGTAATCAATAGAGCTCCCCCCCCCCCGAACCCCTGACCCAGGGGCCATGAATGTCATAATTTTGGAAGAGGCATTCTTCCTTATCATAACCATGCACTTCCTTTGAAAAATACCCAGGAGCAGAGAAGAAGATTTTGAAAGAATTCATGCCTTTTCCCTAAATAATCAATAGAGCCCCCCCCCCCCCAACACCAGAACCCCTGACCCTGGGGCCATGAAATTCACAATTTTGGAAGAGGCAGTCTTGCTCATCATAACTATGTACTTAGTTACTTTATTTAATACCCAGGAGCAGAAAAGATTTTCAAAGAATTAATGCATTTTCACTATATAATCAATAGAGCCCCCCCCCCAACACCAGAACCCCTGACCCTGGGGCAATGAATTTCATAATTTTGGAAGAGGCACTCTTGCTCTTCATAACTATGTACTAAGTTAGTTTATTAAATACCCAGGAGCAGAGAAAAGGATTTTCAAAACATTACTGCAATTCTACTATATAATCAATAGAGCCCTGCCCTAACACCAGAACCCCTGACCCAGGGGCCATGAATTTCATAATTTTGGAAGAGGCATTCTTCCTTATCATAACCATGCACTTCCTTTGTTTGAAAAATACCCAGGAGCAGAGAAGAAGATTTTGAAAGAATTCATGCCTTTTCCCTAAATAATCAATAGAGCTCCCCCCCCCCCTCCCAACACCAGAACCCCTGACCCTGGGGCCATGAAATTCACAATTTTGGAAGAGGCACTCTTGCTCATCATAACTATGTACTTAGTTACTTTATTTAATACCCAGGAGCAGAAAAGATTTTCAAAGAATTAATGCATTTTCACTATATAATCAATAGAGCCCCCCCCCCCCCCCAACACCAGAACCCCTGACCCTGGGGCCATGAATTTCATAATTTTAGAAGAGGCACTCTTGCTCTTCATAACTATGTACTAAGTACTAAGTTAGTTTATTTAATACCCAGGAGCAGAGAAAAGGATTTTCAAAGAATTAATGCATTTTCACTACATAATCAATAGAGCCCCGCCCTAACACCAGAACCCCTGACCCTGGGGCCATGAAATTCACAATTTTGAAAGAGGCACTCTTGCTCTTCATAACTATGTACTAAGTTACTTTAATACCCAGGAGCAGAGAAGAAGATTTTCAAAGAATTAATGCCTTTTCCCTATATAATCAATAGAGCCCCACCCTAACACCAGAACCCCTGACCCAGGGGCCATGAAACTCACAATTTTGGAAGAGGCACTCTTGCTCTTCATAACTATGTACTTAGTTCCTTTATTTAATACCCAGGAGCAGAGAAGAAGATTTTCAAAGAATTAATGCATTTTCACTACATAATCAATAGAGCCCCGCCCTAACACCAGAACCCCTGACCCTGGGGCCATGAAATTCACAATTTTGAAAGAGGCACTCTTGCTCTTCATAACTATGTACTTAGTTACTTTATTTCATACCCAGGAGCAGAGAAGAAGATTTTCAAAGAAATAATGCACTTTCACTATATGATCTATATAGCCCCACCCTAGCACCAGAACCCCTGACCCTGGGGCCATGAATTTCACAATTTTGGTAAAGGGCTCAAGGCTTATTACTATGATGCCAACAGTTTGACTGCTTGATGTCCAGGAGTAAAGAAGAAGATTTTTAAAGATTGCATTATTTTCAGTGGTTTTAGCCCCACCCCTTAGGCCCCAGGGGGGGCAGGGACCATGAAATTCACAATTTTTGTTCCCCTTCACCCATAGATGCTATATGCCAAATTTGGTTGAAATTGGTTAAGCGGTTTCAGAGAAGAAGCTAAAAATGTTCAAATGTTAACACATGACGCACGACGCACACGACGACGACGGATGAGAACAGATAGCAATAGGTCACCTGAGTGACTCAGGTGACCTAAAAATGGAATGTTGAGGCCAATGAAAGCATGGGTCTATGAATTAGTTATCAGGATTTGAGTAATTTTGTTCAATATTGCTCTCTAGTGACTAGTACTAGTATATGTCTGTGAATTACACTGTTGTTGTTGTTGTGGTTTGAGCAATTGTGCTCACATTGCAATCTAATTTTAGTCATCATCATTTGAGTAGTCATAGTCAATGTTGCTGTGTTCCAAAAACAGACTGATAGGTGTAAACACTGATTTCTCCTCTCTGGACAAACGCTGTGCAGAAGAAAATGGAAAAGATGAAGTCAGATAACTGTTGGCCAACAGTTCAGTTGTCCTTGGGGTGTCCAATGCCATACTGAACACTAAATCACTCCTAGTCCGAGTCAGACTGTTCACAGACTTAGCACTGTTTTTATTTAAGACCTCTAGCTTGTGAAGAAGACACAAGATTTCTTCCACCATCACACACTGTTGTAAATACTGTGAAGGATTGCCGCCCCCAATGATCTGAGCTGGCGTCTGCCACCGTAAGTAACATTGACTCCATAGCTTCATACAGGCAGCCCCTACTAGTGGAGTCAGTCTTGTACTTCTATCTGATTTCACTGCATTGGAACACAAGTTAGATTCTTCAAAGTTCTGCAGTTCATAGGAGTACAACTTCTTGATGGAGATTTTATGTCGGAGAGAGGACTCAAGATTCTTAGATTTGGTCAATGCTTCGCAGACATCAGGATTGGTTTTCATTATGTACAAGGGATTGTTGAAGAAGGACTGGTCATCATTACTAAATTGTATCTGCCAGTCCCACACAGAAGGTAAACAGAACCTCTGCTGCCACCGCCCATCAATGTGGTAACGTGTCCGCTGATGGTAACTGTCAAATAGGAATGTTTCGAAAATACCCATGTGAACACTGTCCCAGAGTGTGACCAGATATGTCTCTGAGAAGGCAAAGGCTGAGGGGTATTGTCCCATCAACTGCCATACACAGTCCAAAAAAAGAAGGAAAAGTGGAATCTACAAAATAATTGATGAATGATCCAATCTTGAAATGCCTACACACAAAGATCAGTAAAACATTTAGAACACTCCATTCTTGTTAAAGAATATCTGAAATGTACTCAGAAATAATACATCCAAATTCCTCCTCATAAAAGTTATTAAAGATAGGTAATCAGAGATTACAGAACTCACCTCAACAAATGTTGTCTCTAAGTAAGGCAAAGTCCTACATTCAACTAATAGTAGTGTACATCCCAAGATGCAACCTTTATGCAATTTTGACCGGACAGGGCTTGCAGTTATTCAAACTAATCACTCATCCAGAACATATAAATCAAATCCAGCATCTGAAGCAAGTTTGAGAGTGTTCATCCCTTGATGCATCATCCATGCCAATTTGGTTCAGATAGGCCTTATAGTTTTTTAGTAATAGACCTGCATCCAAAACTTTAACCTGATCAATTATCTGGAATATGTATGTCAGAACCAGCATCTGAAGTAAGTCAATTAGTGTGCATCCTTAGATGTATCATCCATGCAAGTTTGGTCAACATAGGGCTTATAGTTATTTGGAAATGAGACCTGTACCGAAAATTTTAACCTGCTCACTCATCTGGAAAATGTAGGTCAGATCCAGCATCCAAAGCAAGTCTGGTAGTGTGCATCCTTAGATGTATCATCCATGAAAGTTTGGTCAACATAAGGCTTTTAGTTACTTGAAAATAAGACCTGCACCAAAAACTTTAACCTGCTCTAAAAACATTTTAAGCTGAACACGACTCGTAATATGCATACGCCATTTTTGATATTACTATCTACGATATCAGCACCAGGGTATACTCTTCGCATTCGTTGCACCTGACTGCTTTATTGTCACGGGTATTGGCGTGGAATGACGACCCTTGTTCGTGCTGGTTATCTTGCATTACCTTTCTTTACATTTTATTCGGTTACAATGAAGCGCATTGAAGAGGTAAAAATTTTTCATTTGGATGGAACATTTTGGTCTTTCTAATCAGATGTCAACACCCCACTCTGCGACAAGAAACTAGAGTTTTGCTGATATGGAGATTTTATGAACTTCAAGCTCTAGATAGGAAGTTTAAGAGACTCTCCTCCCCCTTCTGTAAAACTTGCATATTGCAACGAATATGTACATACATGTACTTATGAATTAATCAGGTTCATTGAAATTGTCACAACACATGTATCGATCGAACACGTGTTTACTCTGTGTTTATGTAGACTGTCAATTTGATTGGCTGTTGTACTTATAGAATACCTGTGCTACAGGTATTCGAATCTTTTCTGAAAAAAATGGGCGTGTCATTAAGTGACAATAAATGTCCAAAAGAGAGCTCAAAACGTTTCATTCAAACGGAAAATTTCACCACTTCAATGCACTTCATTGTACGAGTATTTGTGTTTGTTTGTAAACTGCACTGACCTACATGTGCAACTGTTGTAAGTTTCTTTGGTATCTTACTCTCCTGCATTAGAAGTACACAGTTATTTTTTGCTGTATAGCATACGTGCGTCTACACCAGTGACGACTGATTACACTGAACAGTGACCAAGTCAGCTGCTTTATATAGGAGTCCTCAGATATAGCGACAGACCAATCGAATATGGCGGAAAAATCCTTTTACGAATCGTGTCTTTAACCTGGTCATTCCTTAGCTGAAGTTGCAGCATCTGAAACCTTGACTGGTACAATGAAACACACTAGAAGCATCTTCCATGCATCTCTGATTAATGTAGGGCATAGAGGTACTCAAAAAGAAAACTGCACCAAAAACTTTAACCTGGAAGCTGACGCCGAGGGTATCACATAAGCTTCCCACAACTTTGTTGAGGTGAGCTAAAAATAATAATTATAATTGATCAACAACTTACGTATTCATTATTTGGTCGGTTTAAATCCTGCACCAGACAACCCTCTCTTTGAAAAGGGTAACCCATGGCAACCCACTCCCTCTGAATGAGGGACTGAAATCCTATCCTAGTTCTGAAATACCTGTCCAGCAAAATCTGCACAAGACTAGATATAAGGCAGCAGTAATGGCGACTGTCTGGCTCTGTCAAATATAAAGACATTACATATAGTAAGCACTTATATCAAAACCTGATCTATTAAAATTGGATTGGAAACAGAAGTGAAGCGAATAAGAAAGTTAATACCAATGTCATAGTTCCATTATTTTTTTTTTAATATTTTGTACTTTTGTCATATATTAACACTTTCCACAGACAGTCGACATTTTATTTTTAACTGCAAAGCTTTAATGAAAAATATTAAATGAGTCACTTGAGAGAAAAAAAAAGATTCTTTTTCTTTTTGTGAAAAAGGGAGGGGGGGAGCTACAAAAATGTTCGCTTTCTGTCAACAATGACAAAAGATGTCACATTCTGGAAAATGTCAAACATATATATATTTATTTAAATCCTAGCACAGGCTATCTCTCCTTTATTTCCATGAAATCGAAAGATCACGGGGGTATATTGTTTTTGTCCTGTCTGTCTGTTTGTCTGTCTATCTGTTGTCAACTTTAACCTAGCCCATAACTATTGCGCTGTCAAGGGTAAGGCTTTAATATTTGACATGAGTGTTCATTATGACAAGACCTTTCCATCGGTACAGAAATTTTTGATCATGTGACCTCAACTATGACCTTTGACCTACATTTGAAAACCTTTAACATTGGCCATAACTATTGCACTGTAGTCTACATCCCACTCCAGAATTGTGTTACTATCAGGGGCATAGTGTTTCACAAACACATCTTGTTTTTTTCCTTTTTTTATTTTTGGCTTGTCTTTTGTTTTATCTGGCACCTTTTCCTTTCAAAAACTCTGCTAGTGCTTGAAGCAAAAGATTGCTCCTTTTAATTTATTCTTTGATTGTTTATTACTGTGATTAAGCATTCAGTGATTTATTTTTGCATTCATAATACCGTAAATCAAACATGCGTCCATACCAGTTAAGCACTTCAGCACATTACAAGAAATTGTTTTCAAATCTGTACACTTTTAAGGAAAGTGAAGTAAAGACATAAGGCCCATGTACCACAATAGTCACCTGACTTACATATAGTTTAATTTAAATAATATTTTATATCATTTCACAGATATGAATACATAAATTAAATTCATCTCTTTATTCTGCTTTTTTCTCCCTGATAAATGAATATATACCTGTAGATTATTGTGACCAAAATCTTTATAAGTTCAGTTGAACTTCAGTGTCTCGACCACTGATACCTTGAGTACCATGGATATGTCAACCTGATTTTGAGGTCCCAACCCCTTATTCCCTAAGTTTTTTCCCTTTTCCCTATATATGAGGAATCTTTGGATATGTTGAAGTTTTTTTCTCCGTCCCATTGAGTTTGAGATGATGAGATTTGACTGTACATGGTTTCAATATACATGTGTAATTTATATTCATAGAATACTGACCAAGTCTTAATATCAAGTTAGTAACTTCAAGTTTTGTTGTTTTTTTTTTTTTTTAAAAATCTTCATATTGCTGTATGAAATTTTACAACTACTATGGTCCCACCCTAGCTGTTACAACTACTGTGGCCCAACCCTGACTCCAGGTGTCAAGACTTACAAATAATACAGAAAAATTCTTGCAAATAAAAAAGTGAAATTGAAACTTAGATGTTTCTTGCAACATTTTAACAATTACTTTTCCTATACGTTTTGGTTCTTTTTGAGGCCCCACTCTAGCCAGAGACCAAAAATTGAACAAATGTACGTATTTCAAAATTGATTTTTTGGGGGGAGGGGTCTTTTCTGGTCAGGTGGATTTGGTATTTTTAAATGATGGTTATTATATCCCTCATAATTCATTTTGGCAACTCTTGACATCTCTAGAATCAAACCAATGCCTGAACATCAGCAAAGAACTGTAAACAGAAAGAGTTTTATTTTAGCATCCATAGAATTAAAAACAATGATAAAAACCAGAAATTAAGGTTTCACCTTTGATAATAACTGTATGTCTTTTCATGTGTTCAGCAGCATCACAAGCTGTCTTCAAACACTGGGAAACACAAGTCAGCCATTTTGTTCCCTCCAGAGAGGATAACCAAGATATGTCCTGTACAGCAAAGTCCTTTCCAGAATCTGGGGGTGCAAATAATTTCATATTATGGACTTTAGACAAAAAAAAATTACACAGCTATAAAAATTCTTCTTTTTTTTTAGGATCACTGGTGCAAATTATTGCTGAAAATTCTTTTCTATTTTACTTCACATTACATTTTTCATCTATAAGTTTCCTTTTCACAACTCTCCTCTTTGCTTCTACAGGGACCACACAATTACTTCACTGATTTTGAGCCAAGGAAAGAAAGATAACTCATTTTATGTTCTTACCTATGAATATCAGGTCTTTGAGTTTTTCGTATGCTCCTTGGATATCTTTTAATGATGGGCAGAGTTTTGTCAGATCCATTTCTACAGGGTATCCTTTATTCACATCTGCAAGCTGTATTGCAGTTCTTAACCTATCAAAATTCAAAGATGTAGTTAATGTCAAAATGTCTAAATATATATATCCTCTAAAATACATACTTAGTTCAATTATTTTTTTTTTTCTTTTACAAAATCTAAACCCTTGTGGTGAGGTATACATATTATCTATTATTACACAAAACACTGTCAAAAAAATATTTTTTTTTAAAACATCAGTGTATTAGCAGAATATAATTATAATCAAGCTTAAGTTAGACATGTGCAATATTAATGACATACACATATTATTTAGTGATCATTGGCATTAAGATATTTATTTGACTTTTGGTGTTTTTTAAAGCACTAATTTGCATCCCTGCATTTATTAGTGATTTCTTGGTACAGCATATGACTGTGGATACATACATGCAAAATTTCATATAAATCTGAAGATATATTAAAACAATGTCACAGAAAAGTCACCGTGTAAAGAAAATGATATGAGCTAGTGTAAATGTGGATACAATACAGATTCTGTGGGGCTGTTCCTATTGTTAGATATCACATAAACATGCAATAATCTTAACATTATATCACAGGTAAGACTATCCATCTTAGTTGTGGTGGATTTATTTGTTTTAAGCTGGTAGAGTTTAAATGAAATGCATGTTTTTAAAAGAGGCTTAGAGAAAAAATATCATGAATACCAAGATGGGTTTGAAAATTCTGTCAATTTATTAACACTGACTGCTTTTTATTATAAAAAAGATGAGTCAAATTTCAAACTTATGTGAAGACAGAATGATGCTATAGCAATAATATGTTAATGATATGGGGTGTGTTTATATACATGAGGCTTACCGATTACAATATGTCCTAATATACATCTCAGATGAAAGACTGTAATATTAATCAATTTTCATCAAGAATTACAGATCAAAAATGCAGCACATGTAAAATCCTGATTCAAAGAAACCCAACGAATGCTACATGAACAATGTGTCACCTGTTGAGATTTTTAATCTTCACTTGACCTTGAATTGCAGATGGTGTTAATATCATTTTTGATGTACATCATTATGAACTTCCAAGTTTAACATTTAATGAATTACAAAACAATTTTCACCACATGCTTAAGAAAGAAAAACCATCTTGCTCTCTTAAATAAAAATTTCCTGCAACAAATTTCCAAAAGACAAACTTAATATGATATTAAGGAAATTTGCAATGTAATTATGTAATGTGGAGCAAACTTGATGAAAATTTTACAATGGAGACAGTTTATTAGAGTTGTCTCTCTTTGTATAGTCTGCATGTCCCTCTATTGACCCCTGACAGAAAGATCCCCATGTGTTTACTATGCTGCTTTCCTCTTGATCTTTTTTTTTTTTTTTACTTTTAATGATAATACCTGGTAAGCAACACATCAATATTAATATAAACACATATTATAACCGGGATATTTACAAGGCAAATTTTTGCAATTATATTTACAGAATCCTTTGTCCACCTAAACTGCAAGCTGAATTATAAATTATTAGCTATTCGTATAATATTGTTATTATCTATTCATATAATATTGGTTACAAAATTACATGCATATATTCAAATTGTGCTCTAAAAATTAGCTGGCACTGTTATCTTTCTAAGGTATAGGTACATGTATAAAGAAGCATATATGCAAGTGGTTTTAAGTTATTTATTATTATTATTTATTATTTTAAATTATTTACTTAAAAATTTTCTTGTTAAAAAAATTCATCACAAAAGCTTTTCTGCTACTGTGGAATCATTAATAATTTAATGGAGGGGGGGGGGGGGGGCTTGTGAGGATAAGGGGTACTGTAGAATCATCATTTTAATGGGAAAGTAATGTTTGTGGACTTTGTGAACATCCTTTCCCATGAAATTATATCCCCATGAACAAGATAACTTTGTCAATGTATCGGTTCATTGAACCTTCTGCATGTACAAGTTACCCACAAAGTTACATCCCCACAAACCAGTAAAAGGACAAGTGCACTTAAGCAATGCTGAATGGGCCCTTTTTCAGTGTCGTTTTACTTTAGAATATATTACCAAATTGTTCTTTTTTGGTAATAGTTAAACACAAATGGATATTTCTAATTAAAATCATAAAATGTTTGATGCTTTTATGTATGATGACATTTTAACGACACTAAACTCTCCTAACCCTCCCGTGTTTTTTAAAACCAAATACATGCAAACTTCCCTATGCGGCACGACTTCGATATAATGATACAAAACTGACTATCTTTTACAGCTGTTTTACAGTGAGCACCTTTGAGGAATGTTTACCTGGGTAGAACTCACGTGACTACCGGTATTTTAAATAATTTATTCCACTTGTGGGTTCAACAAAGGTCATACAGGTAAATAGCTCTCATATGCTATAGGAAAAACATTGAACTTTTCATACGTTTTTAATATTTTAAGTACAAGCCTAATCTTGTGCAAATTTCCTACTTTCACGCAAGTTTTATAAATGTATAATGCGTTTTTTGTCATTCGCACAAGTTTGTACAACGTTAGGCTGACAGTAAACAAAAGCTTTGAAATGAATGACCGTCCTCAATTTACTATAGAAAATCATGAATGTCGGCTGACCCCTACCACATTGTTTGGCTTTGCTCTTTGTATATTCATGAATTTCACCGATAAAATTTGTTGAATCTTATGGTTTAGATATCAATTAATGATCTGAGATGAAAAATTATGCTTAATTTGATTCTTCATTTTTTCATATTTTACCGGGGCCCATAAGTGCACTTGTTCTTTTGCCTGCCCACGAATGTTGTCCCTCACGAATTAAAATGATTCCACAGTATGCTCCAAATCCATAAAAAAAAACCCTGTGAAATACAACTCCAATTTCTTATGTAATACAAAACTTACAAAATTATAATTTTCAAATTAACAATTTTTCTGGCCAAGCAAATTCCCTAAACATTCTACCACTCCATTATTATCCTATGATAACCAGCTGTGAGTGAACATTGAATAACCACAGACTGAAAGCTTAATAAATCTTGGTGAACAAAATAAACACAGAATTCAGGGTACAGAGTAAAGACCTCTAATCAAAAGAGGATGCTGGATGAACAGTGAACAAACACTGAACAAAAAATAAGTGGATGATGGAAAAATCACTGGCATTGTGGTGGTAGAACAATTCAGGGAGTGGACATGTGGTGGTAGAACAATTCAGGGAGTGGACATGTGGTGGTAGAACAATTCAGGGAGTGGGCATGTGGTGGTAGAACAATTCAGGGAGTGGACATGTGGTGGTAGAACAATTCAGGTAGTGGGCATGTGGTGGTAGAACAATTCAGGGAGTGGACATGTGGTGGTAGAACAATTCAGGTAGTGGGCATGTGGTGGTAGAACAATTCAGGGAGTGGACATGTGGTGGTAGAACAATTCAGGGAGTGGACATGTGGCATAGGTATGCTGACTGTATATACTTACTTTCCCACATAACCTGCTAAATCTGAGTCTGCATACATCTCTGCCATTCTGACCAGACTGGCTCCACTTGTGTGTGTATAACACCAGGCCTAACAAAAATCATTTCATTCAATTTTAATTAATGAATTTCTTTGAAAAGAAATAAATGATATACAATAACTTAAACATTACTCTATACATCACTCACTGGTAACCTGTTTTCATTGAACTGGGAAGCTGCCTTCATCAATTCATCATAGCTCATTAAGTTCATGGGTAAAACAAATCTCTCTGGCATGCTGAAAAAAACAAGTTTTAAACACATGTTAAGTGCATTCCATTCAGGAGAAGATTATTTACCAGTTACATGTATTTCATGAGGCTCTTTTGGTAAAGTGCCAAAAAAATAGTTGTTGACTGGATGAGAAAATTCTGGAATGAATGTTTTGAGTCTGCAACCCCCCGGTCATGAATTAAAAAAAAATACACTACCTGTGGATGCTTCCATATAAATATGACTGCTCATGGCTTTGCTGTTCTTGAAAAAAAGATAATTCAAGAATTTTCCTACGTTTTCCTATGTAAAACTTTAATCACCAATTGTGGCCACACCCTTCCCCCAGGGGTCATGATTTGAACAAACTTGAATATACACTACCTTTGGATGCTTACATATAAATATGACTGTTTGTGGCTTTTTTAATGCCGAGGAGAAGATTTTCCTATATACTTTGATTGCCCATCGTGGCCCCACCCTACTCCCAGAAGTCATGATTTGAAAAACCTTGAATCTACACTACTGTACAGGGGGAAAATAACTCGCGGTGTAAATATTCGCTATAATCACGGTGTTGATAAATCCGTGAATTCAAGAAACAGTGAATAAGTTTCAATAAACTTTGGAAATATGAGTATAGACTACGATAGGTATATTTACGCACAGTAGTCATTCAGTAATTACGAGTGGTACTTGTCATTCAATTATTTTAATTATCACACTTTACCAGGGACCTATATACTAATAAATATATAGGTGTCTGGCTTTACTTAACTTAAATCAGCAGATAATGACCTGTATTTATTGTTGGAAAGCTGTTTTAATAGCCAACGCTTCATGTTTGATCAATCAAAGCACCTGGTTCATGGGTATTGATAACTGATTACTGTAAACCAACTTTTATTCGCGACGACTTTATTTCGCGATTTACCGGGGGTAAACTAGTTCGCGACGATTAATTTTCACGATAAAGCCTTTTTTGAATCTGTTAATAATAGAAAGAGAAACTTTAAGGACCGGTTTGCAGCGAGAAATATTCGCGATGAGGTGGCTCTCGCGAACCTCGCAAAAATTTCTCGCACGCGAATAAAAGTTGGTTTACAGTACCCAAAACATTATCACTCATATTAGTTTTTCCCGACAATTTGTTTTTAAAAAATATTTATTCAAATAACTCTCGGACTTACTGTAGATATGGAAGGATATGATTTCGTCGACATACATTAACACAATTATAATCATCGAGTGGTTTTCGTTGCGATATGTCATTCCTTCAGGAAGAAAATCTTCCGGTGTACATGCACTCATCGTAATAGCATACAGGAAAGTCATTCGACGTGAAAGTCAAAGACATTTAACGGCACTTGTTTTGTTTTATTGTAAATTAATTACCAAATCTAACCACTTACTTAAACCTCCCCGAGTATTGTTTATGAAGTGAATACATAACGATAATGAATGTCGTTCTGGCAATACTCGATACTGCCAAGGGAGGTAACTTTCATTTTACACTAAGTCTGCAAATTCATCAAACCGCGATTATATCAGAGGAGAGAAAAACGTGAAAATTACAACCCGTGAAATTAATCCCCTATACAGTATTTCAAAAAGCTTTCACATAAGTTTCATCTTTTTTTGGCCCAGTGGTTCTTGAGAAGATTTTTAAATGACCCCATCCAATTTGTACTTTTTCTTAATACCCTTGGAGGAGGATCTGGCCCTTCACTTAAAAAAACTTGAATCCCCTTCACCCAAGGATACTCTGTGCCAAGTTTGGTTGAAACTGGCCCAATGGTTCTGGAGAATAGGATGAAATTGTAAAAAGTACATCAGCAATGACAGACAACGGACAAATTTTGATAAGAAAAGCTCACTTGAGCCTATAGCTCAGGTGAGCTAATAAGATTCCCAAAAGTAAAGATTTATAATAATACTTTCAAAGAGCAATCTAGCAGTTTAGATTATGACTACCTACTATCTAGCTTTCAGCAAGACTCCAGTGGACCTACCTCTGTGACACACAGTAACCCTGATTGACTTCACACACCGTCCACTTGGTACACCCGCACCGATTCAGTTCTCTCTCCCAATCAGCTGCACAATCGTACCTCGGAGTATTACTAACAGTCCCGTTCTCTGTTCAAAACAGGAAAAAAATTGTCTGTTTAGACATGAAATCATTCATTACAGACCCCTAGTGAAAATGTTCATACAAAACATATAATTTCTTTTTATCACTACACGGAAAATTATTATTACTTTCTGTTAAAATCTTTGAATTTTAAGTTGAAACCAGAGTATCTACCAAGAACTATCTTCATTTTTCCAATACTGTAGATTCTTAAACATATGCGAAGAAGCATCACTTGTGATAAAAAAATTCTCACTTTTAACTTGAAATTATATTGCTGAAACATATGTAAAAACTCCTGATAAATAGTCCACTTAGGAATTCATGTTCTTGCAATTTGATGTCTACAAGTTACTATGCAATATTAAGTACTTGAGTTAAATAAACAATCTGCAGTAATCTGTAAAAAATGATTCTATACAGAATCATCTGGATGTAATAGAGTTTGTAATGTTGATGTTAATCCAAGACTGATACATAGATGGGTGACCAGTATATGGATGTAATAGAGTTTGTAATGTTGATGTTAATCCGATATTGATAAATAGAAGGGTGACCAGTACCATATTTGGCCGAATATAATACGCATTGGTGTAAAATATGCACCCCCCTTTTTGAGCCTGAAACTGGGGGAAAAAACGCAGTTCGGTTGTATTATGCGCAGCAGAAAATTTTACCAAGCGGTGTTCTGAACTTTTGAAAATCGCGGTAATTTGCTATGAAAATCAGCGCGGAGATAAAGTGCCGAGAATTTACAGAAAACGATATTTTATTCAAATGCGTTTTTATTTCTTAATCTTGACTTTCCATATAGCGGCAATCTGGAGGAAATTATTTATTTTAACAAAGCACGAGATAATGTTGCATTAAAGTATTAACAGAGTTTATTATTAATTTTTTTAGCATACGGTAATATTGAAATTATACGTCGCCGTAAACTAACTATTCTTTGTGGAAATAATTTTATTTCAACAAAGCACGTGTTGCAAGATTAACAGTTGTCATATTTTTTTTTAGTTTAAGGTAATCATGTTGAAAATTATGTATGTTTAACAGGGAAAGCGATATTGCAACATCAAAGTATTCATAGACTACGATTTTCCTCTTTTGAACTTGAAATTAATTAATTAAATAAATAGCTGATGTTATAAAAATAAAATCAAAAATTAACAAGCGTGTAAAGTGTAGTTATCAACACACTGCCAAAGCTGTGAAAAACGATGTACAAAGGTGGGTTATGTCTTCATACATCGAGGTAATCTTCGTGGATATCTTATTTTCTACAGAGCACGAGTAAATGATAACACTTAAGTTTCAACATACTTCATATTTCCTTTTTTAACTCTCAATCATTTTAACACGAGGTCGATAAAAGATAAAGTAAAATTAAATTTAACAAGCGTTTAACTGTTTAATCTGTCGTAATCAACTCATGCTTTTACATACGAAAGATCATAAACCAATCCCCGATTTTTAACAAAGAAAATAATCAAAGCCATTAATAAGGGCATTAAATAATCAGTGCTCTAACTGTAAAATCAATGCTTTGGAGTCAATAAACAATTTAATTGCCTGGAGGGGTGTTGAGGGGTAATTATCAAGTGTCAAGCGCATGTGTTCACAACATTGGCTTCCATTCACTGGGACGTATAGAGGGGTGTTTATGTTGAAATGAATTTTCACTGAGTTATTTAAAACCTAAAATAAATTTTATTTTATTGTATTTCATTAAACAAAATGACATTACTTTTTTGACCGAGTGTCTGACTGATTAGGTACATGTGTACTATGATTACGGAAGCACGTGGCAAAGGATTGTGTGAACATCTATAAATAACATCATTAATGGCGGCCTACACGGAGACGATGAACATGCAGCTCAAATTAATTTTAACTTGCTTTTAAATTTAATTTAACTATCAAAAGGTTATAAATATAACATTTTTAACAAGCATACAATAACTTTCCGAAGTTTTAAATACGGCGATAAACAGCAAGAAATTGCCTAAGTCTCTAGGTAATGCTACGGTATGAGCGTATGATAGCCGTTTTTCACATGAGAGAAAAACCTATCAAAATCCCATTGTGGTGTAAAATACGCACCCCTTTCTCACAAAAAATTATTTTGGGAAAAAAGTGTGTATTATATTCAGCCATATACGGTATATGGATGTAATAGAGTTTGTAATGTCTAAGACTGATAAATACATGTAGAAGGGTGACCAGTATATGGATGAATACACTTTGTGATTTTGGTGGTAAATAGATGGATGACCAGTATATGGTATTACACAATTGTTGAGGATCAACTGGACTAACCTGGTGTTTGGAGAGCTTTGGCATACTCAAATGCATACAGGAGATAGGATTTGTTGGGATATGCATAGTGAATCACAGCATTGGTTATCTAAAGTACACGGATAACAAAAACATGAAAAGCAGCTTATATATAAAAATGTCAAATACTCCTGTAACATAGTAAAAAACGGTATATTTTTTATGCCAATAAAAATCAGCATAATAAATCAATCATGCCGATTTTTAATTGAGGTAAGCTGGTTGTAACAGTTTATTCCGGCTGAATTTATTCTTTAATAAATGGAAATAAATTAACTGATAAAATGCTTCTGTTCATCTCTTTTATCAAAAATCTATTTATAAATTAGTTCTTATTTAAACATTAACCATACCTTTTTGATCTGGTCTTTGGGGGAAAACTTAAAACCAAAAACATGAGTCCTGAAATCCTATGTATATAGAAATACAGCTGTAAAAGCAATGTTTGGTGTGCTACATGTTCTTATATTTTAAGAGAATACCTTAATAAAAGAATATTTAATATCTTTACTTTGCAGACAAGGGGAGTAACTCTATAATACACTGTTTCTTCAATGACTCTTACCTTGCAATGGATTTCCAGGTATTTAGTCAGTGTTGATACAGTAGTATTAGGCAGTAACTTCCTTCTCTTCCCTCCTGACACAACTGAAACGTCAATTAACACAGTCAACTTTCCTTTCATGATCAATATGATACATCAACTTGTTTAAAATTGTTATAACTGTTACAACTATTTGTAAGGTGAAAGTTGTTATGAAAAAAACTAATCATTTTCTCCCTTAACTTACTTGGATCTGTATGAGAAGATAATCTTAAAAGTAGACAGAGATTTCTCTGTAAACACAGATAATTCCTGCTCATTTTTACCTTGATAAATGCTTTCAATGTTAGTGAGTGGAATGTCTCCATCATCAATTATCTTGTTCCTCTGTCGCTGAGCCTCCTGGGATTAAGACAAACATGAAAAATACAGTCGTTTGACCAGTTCCGAATTTTGATCAGTTCCGAATAATTAATAATTTAAGAGCTGATGATTAATAAATTCAAAAGTATAAACATAAATTCATACATATGGTATGAAGGCTTATCTATGAGTGTTTTAATTGTGTGAAGTTTTGATTTTTTGGCGTCAGTTTGTGTTCGCTATCGTACTTGAAACAGGCAACAAATCTGAATCACTGCGACGTGTTTGTCTGCAGAAAAACGTCTGTGAAGATGTCAATTTTTCACATAAAACAACATTTCAACTATCAAAAGTAAGTTTCATATGTATTTTAACAAATACCAAAAGCTTGCCGAAAATAAATAATTAGACCACCGGAAGATATTAGAATATTTTCGTGTTGTCATTTTACTAGTTCCGAATACCCATTATAAACACTGTACAATACGTTAGATTTATGTTATTTATTCATTGTAAATGTGACTGTTATTTCTCTTTATCCTTTGTAAATACCACTTACTTACTGGTAAGCATTTATTTTAACTTTTCCAGGCATGTCAATTGATAATGTGTGGGACGGATATTTTTAATTTAGGGTCAAATTGCATGGGAACCGCTAAGGTATTCGGAACTCGCCAGCTTATTCTTAACTAGTAAAATGAGTACCCATGTTAACTTGCTAAAATAAAAAGTTTTTTTTGAAAGGCTGAACTTTTGAAACAACATTTAATTCCGCAAGTCATTGAACAACTTTGACAAACAAAATAGATTTTGAAATAATGCCGTCATGTATTTATAGCACTGCCTAATCGGTTTCCTATTCGCAACTGGTCAAATGACTGTACACTCTATATATTTAAATATTGGTGCATTTTACATTTAAAATCTGTTTTTAATACTTTTTCTACATTTCTTCCAGACTGTATTATTTCCATAAATCAAAGTATAAACAATTGGTCAGATTTCCCACTCTCATTGATTCCTACTTGCATACCTTCTCATAAGATGATCTGTCCCCAGTTAAGAATGTGAGTTTGAAGTTTGTAATGAAGAGCTTCCCTGAGGTTCCCTGCTTTTTTTCAGTAAATGGAACAAAACACAACACACTGTCTGCCTCCGTTACCACTCTCTCTCCTACATAATAGAAATAAAAGACATATAACTATACTAAAGAACATCTCTGTCCATAAGAAAATCTCTACACAGGTTAAACAATCTTTGACAATATGCTACCGTAAATGTGGATATTTGTGTTGTAAATTTCAAAAATTAATAATAAAATCATACATGTGGGGTTATTTTTGGCATTATCAGTGTAGCTTTGATTTCATGCATGGTTATTTTTAGTTTATGAATAAAACCCTCCTTGAATAGCCGTTTTGAAGAAACAGTTTTCTTTTTCATCTTATCTTTTGGTTATACTTCTCAAAACAGGATTACCAGACTATTTTCCAGTATAGCTTGAATTAGATTTTTACAGAGATTTTATATTCATTTTTTTTGGGGGGGGGGGGGGGGGTTAATGTGAAACATTTCATTTGACCCTGTTTCTGCTCATGACTTTAATATGTCATGCAGTCTATACATTAACCTTAACTTTGACCAAATATGTAGATTGAAAATACAGTGTATAAGTCCATTCTTTAAAAATCCATGCCAAATTTTAGGTTGTGGTCAGACTGGCTTATTGATAGACAGAACAAAGTCAATATATAGAGGATATTCAATGTTTTTTTTAGCTGGATATGGAATTTATTTCATGAGAGGGGCAGGATTTTTTTTAAAATTCTATCTCATGACTGAAATAAATTCAATATCCAACCACAAAACATTGAATTTCTGCTAAGTGATTGTACAGGATGATGTGACATGACTGCTATCTGGGGCCCCTTTTTCTACGACGAATTATATTTAAACTACAACAATTTTGATAATTTTCATACACGAGTGAATAAATACGACGCCTTTTGAATAGTTTTAAAGAGGCTGGGGGGTTGTGGCCATTTTTAGACTATACTGATCTCCTTTAGAAGAAGAGCTCCATATGAAGATATAGAAAATGATCAAATTTTTAAAACTAAAATTTTTGAAATTTTTCTTTGCCAAATGATAGTTGACAGCTTAAGATATCATATCTAAAAAATTAAGTTAAATCTGGTGGTTAATATGTTGACCCCCCAGCCTCCTTAATAGTTCCGACAAATTTTAATTATAAGGATTACTGCATTATCTATGATTTTTTTGACCCTATGACAGCAAAATTCGGCCTGGTTTGTGACAATACGTTCTTTTATGAAAAGAGAATAGGCGGGTCTTAGTACAACAGAGGGATATGCATGTTTGAGGAATCTACCTTATATGGCTATTGTTATTACTTCGCACATAGAGAACAATTGTCCAATCCGATGACAGAACGACAAAACATGCTGGTTTACTACATGTTTACTTTTTATCACGGACATGTGGTTTAGATCAATTTACACAATATCTCTACTACATTTCAAACTTTTAATGGTCAGCCAAGGCTATTTATACATAACAATACACATGGAACTGCAGTGTTTACCATTTAGGGTCAAGAATGAAACTTTTATTCACTGATTCTCGGGAATACGATGTAGACTTAGCGAATTGCCCACCGAACGCTTTACAAAACTTTTAACTATGGATATTTATAAATCAATTGTTTGTAAATGTGAACTGGGAAATTGTAGATCCGTGTCTAATCTGTAACTCAAATGCATAAAAAATGTTTATCGGAAAGCAGGTTAAAAAACTCAATCTTTTTTCCAAGCATAAAATGTCCTTAGTATTTTTGTGGTACTCACTAGTTATGCAACTCTTTTAGCTGATTGGTCAGTTAGAAAGTATCGCCAGTGCCTCGATTAGCATATGAATTTATTCTTACGTCAGAAAAAAATAGTTTCGTCGATCTGTTCATAATGGGAAAGGTCAGCTAGATTTTACAATTTTTTAAAAACAACATGTGAGCGCAGTCAGGTACATTTTTCTCCTTTCACATATCGGTAAATTTCAATAAAAGGCAGTGACCAGCCAAAGGAGAAAAATGTACCTACTTGCGCTCGTATATTTTAAGGGCTTCAAAGAGTGGGGCGGGGCCAAAATTCAATAGGAATTGGATGTAAACATGGTACCCCTACTCAAAATAAAGACATATATCTTCCAAATCATGTTTCTACTTTCGGTAAAAGTAGTATTTTATGAGAGTATACTAATCAGTGATTAAATGCATGCAAAAATTAGAGTAAAATTTAGATATTTAATTTTTTGTCAATTTACCGGGGGCCGTATGTCACATCATCCTTTACAGATTTTAACAACAATTTGGAGAAGTTTTGTCAGTTTTAGTCTATGTCTGGATGGTTTATCTACTAACTCTTGCTATGTTTTACCAGGGTTTATATTTTTAATAACACTTTCATGAAAGGAAGGAAAATTTCGAGTTTTGAAGCACCTCTGGTATTTTTCTTTTACAATGAAAAATATCACTATGATATATTTCACTGTGAAAAATATCACTTTCAAAAATATCCATTTTATTCAATGGACAGTATTTCACTGTTGCAAATGTAATAAAACATTTTTCTTTATCATGATAAAACTAAATCATTCTAATCCGAGAACAATAATTTGATTACCTGGCAGGAGTCGTGGTATCAAGTCATTCTGAAAAAATGAGGATGCTCGTTTTTTTATCTCATCCTGAAAAAAAAAAAAAAATCCTGAAACAGAATGTCCATATTCTCATTTGAAGTATGATTTCAACCTTTAATTGAATCTTCATTTTCAGTGTAGACTGGAAATAATTAAGGCTTCAACTGTGTAAGAGTTAGTCATTCAAAGAAACCAGAAGTCTCTGATGTGACTGTTCCACCAGTTCGTTATTCTAATTGTGGAAGAAGAAAGTTGCACCCCGACTTGAAACACTAAAATATGCTGAAGGCTTTCATAGAGTGTGTGAATCTGTTTTTAGATTCATTTTTTTTTTGATGAACAAAATAATTTTTATAGTCAATCCAATATTTAAATTGGACAAAAAGTGTAGGAGCATTACCATTTTGATAAATTATTAACATATAAACTGACAGATGGACAGACAGATAAATGCTTTACTATTGAATAAGCTCTTTTGGCCTTTGACAACAGTTCAGCTAAAACAAACAAAACTATCATATTTTTAAGATTATGTGCTGCGCAATTGTACATCGTGTGAAGAATTTTCTGAAAAGGATATGAATTTAAGCTACAAGGAAACATGTCCTTTCATCATTTGTACATGGAGGCATTCAAGAATGTAGTGGCTAAGTAACTTCTAAGTAGAGGTACGATCTTGGAAGATATGCTCGCCTAGCTGCAACGTTGAGAAAACTAGCATAAATATTTTATGCTAGGTAACAAATCCAAGTTGGCCTTATAGTTACCATTTTGCATCACACAAGATACTAGTAAGTGGGTTTGTTTTCTCCATCCGAGAGAATCACATTGTTATTTATGCATACATTTTTACTTGAATTCAGCTCACTTTTACCGAGATATTTATATCCAAAACACCTAGCAGTGAGCTGTCCGTTCAATAGGGCTACATATCTAACACTTAGCTGCTAGGTTTTACCACTGCTATCTTGAATGCAGCCCTGTAGTTCATAAAGTTCAATAATATAGATTATATAAATACATAACAGAATATATAAAATTCAATTTTTTATGGCTCACACTTGGAGGCATACGTTTGAAATATTGACATAGAGTGTCAGAACAAAGAAAGTTAAAATATAGTAGATCCTTACAACACAGAATTATATAAAATGGTAATTGACATGTAAAGATTTAAAAGATGTTTAACAATATCAAAATACTTACATCAGTTTCATCTTCATCTTGATCAACATAGGATTTAAATGTCTGAAATACAGAAAAGCACATCCTTTTAAAATGCTTAGTTATTTAAAGACCTATTAAGCAGTTGTTTGGCCCAGATAAGGAAGTCGTACATTGTAAAACCACATATATCCTGTCTATCCCTTACAATTCAAGCATTCATACAATACATACCAGCATATCTTTTGTCTTCCTTCTATCATTGAAGCCAAAAAAATTCATTTCAAGATATTTACTATGTTTTCATAAATTTCCTCTATTTCAGTTTTTGTTTAAATTCTCTAATAGGGAAGTGGAATAGTCATTAATGTGTGACAAGAAAAAAAAACAAAGGAAATGGCCAATTGAGGGATAAATGGTGAAACAAATCAACTGAGGTTTTTTTTAATTTACATACAAGTGGTCCCTGAGTGCTCCATCATTATAACTTTGCTGATTATATACTGGATTTTTACAACAAATTACACATACATCTGTACAAGGTAAATTAAGTAGAAGATAATGTTGTGTCTTCCAATGGAAATACATGTATATGCTTGCTCTTTTTTTCCCTTTTATTTTGTTTCTTATTTATTAATTTCTTTTTTATTTTCTCTCTCGCACTCTCTTTTTTTATTTGGGGAGGGGGGGGGGGTGCATTTGTCTGTTTGCACGTATGTTATGCTTTTTTTATTTTTTGGCAACAGTAACATATTTATCTTAAATTGTATGACATTGTATGAATCTGTAAGTTTCATGCAGCCTTTAATGGGAATAAGTTAATTCTTATGTACATCACTAAAATGAGGTCACAGTGTGATGGCAAAAGGGAAATGATTGGGATAGACTGTCTATGAAGGTCATTGTTATAGTAAGCCTGACTGTCTAGGGAGGTCACTGTTATAGTAAGCCTGACTGTCTAGGGAGGTCACTGTTATAGTAAGTCTGACTGTCTAGGGAGGTCATTGTTATAGTAAGCCTGACTGTCTAGGGAGGTCACTGTTATAGTAATGTTATAGTAAGCCTGATTGTCTAGGGAGGTCACTGTTATAGTACTGTTATAGTAAGCCTGACTGTATAGGGAGGTCACTGTTATAGTAATGTTATAGTAAGCCTGATTGTCTAGGGAGGTCACTGTTATAGTACTGTTATAGTAAGCCTGACTGTATAGGGAGGACACTGTTATAGTAAGCCTGGCTGTCTTAAGTTAAGGAAGGTCACTGTTATAGTACTGTTATAGTAAGCATGACTGTCTAGGGAGGTCACTTCATAGTAAGCCTGACTGTCTAGGGAGGTCACTGTTATAGTACTGTTATAGTAAACCTGACTGTCTAGGGAGGTGACTGCAAGAGTACTGTTATAGTTCGCCTGACTGTCTAGGGAGGTCACTGTTATAGTAATGTTATAGTAAGCCTGATTGTCTAGGGAGGTCACTGTTATAGTACTGTTATTATAAGCCTGGCTGTCTAGGGAGGTCACTGTTATAGTAAGCCAGACTGTCTAGGGAGGTCACTGTTATCAGTAATGTTATAGTAAGCCTGACTGTCTAGGAAGGTCATTGTTATAGCATGCCTGACTGTCTAGGGAGGTCACTGTCATAGTAATGTTATAGTAAGCCTGATTATCTAGGGAGGTCACTGTTATAGTAAGCCTGGCTGTCTAAGGAGTTCACTGTTGTAGTTAACCTGACTGTCTGTGGAGGTCACTGTTATAGTAAGCCTGACTTTCTAGGGAGATTAGTTTGTCAGTCAGAAGAGGTTACTATGTCTTAGGAGATCACTCTTATGATTAGCTATTGTATCACGGGAGGTCACTGTTATGGTCAGTCTGTCTGTCTGTAGAGGTCACTGTTCCGTCAGCATTGATAACTTTATTTCCCAAAGTTCTCAAAACCACTTCACGACTTATTCAAATCAGGCTCAAAAATACATGGAAACAATTTTCACCCAGAGAATTCTATTAAGGAAGCAGTTCAAAATGATTTATTTAAGAAATAAGGTATCATTTTTAAACATCTATCGGGATATAAATACGGGTTGGTCACGAGATCAAATTCCATAAAGCCCGAAGGGCTTTATGGTAAATTTGATCTCGTACCAACCCGTATTTATATCCGATAGATGTTTAAAAATGATACATTATTACTTATATTTACATTTATGACTTATTCATATTTTATATTTTCCTGATTATAATCTCTAACGCGTGAAATGTTTTACTTTTCAAACTCAACGGCACGTATTTGTTCCATTGTTTGAGCGTCGACCCTTTATGACGTCACTTTGAAATTACGTCGAACGTTTATGACGCGAGGAACCTGTGTTTATACGGATATAGATACGCGTTGCTTTCAATAGTGTTATATAAGGGAAAACATTTGCAAATGTAAATATTCCAATATAACATTCATTGAAAATTAATTACAAAATACTTATTATCTTGGAGATGCATAGACCCCCAATTTTTTTTATAAAATTTAATAAGTTGTCAAATGAGTATGTATGCATAGTCTGATTTCTGCATTAAAAAAAGTGACCCCATACTGCACATTTATTCAGATATTATAATCCAAGATTGTATGAATACACATTCAAATCTATGCTGTCATTATTAGGCCAAATAAAAAAATATGTGTGGTTCCGGTTACCCGACCGTCCCTATTTTATACCCTCGACCCTAAACCTTTTTTTGATAATTTTCAAATCCAGAATTTTCCCTGATTTCCCTCATTGGCTCCGGTATTAGTTTTAGTTTCAGCAATGGTGGCCTTCTTTGAAAACATCATTTCAACACGCAGTACAAGTGTTTTGTCAGTTATAAATGTCACCACTTGAAAGAAAGCAATAGTATTATCTCACCAATATCACCAATAGTTAATTCAAGAACATTCAATGATATTTTTGACTTTTATTATATTTTAAAAAAAAAAACAAAAAAACAAAAAAAACCCTACCAACCTACCCTAATTTGTTTGGAGGTGTAACCGGAACCACACATATTTTTTATTTGGCCTTAAAATTAATAAACATTTAGAGTACATCCAACTTGAGAACAAATCTTGCCAAGTCAGGGATTTATTTCATACATGTATAGTCATTACATGTTGCCCTACTGTCAATTCTCTAGTAAATCAATATGATCCTATCTTTAACATATAGTCACTTAATAAGATTTATGCAAGTTATGTGACAAAATATGTGACAAGCATTTTTATCATCAGAACCATTTTAACTCTCCAATTTAACATTTTTTCCAAATAATGTTGTAGATATATACACATGCATTGGACATTAAATATTACTGCCTGTCCTATGATTGCTTGAACAAACTGCTATACCCCCTCCCCCCTCCCTCTCCCAAAGTCTTTTGCATAGCACAGACCCTCCTCAAATGTGTGGCTGTACCCTACCTTTAACTTAACGACATCATAACTGTTATTCCTTCTCATAAAAGCTCTTCCGATTGAAGCCATGTCAACATAGCCTGTTTCACTTTGTTTATATATAAGCGAGTGCTAGCTACGCCCCCTTATTGCTTATCAGTAAAGGGTCACATGGATTAAAAACCTCACTCAAAAGAAGATTGGATTTACATCTGTTGTTTGAGGTTAAGAAGGTAAAATGATAAGATTGTGAATACATACAAATACTTTGCATAATTCTATTTATATTTCAGTATCTGGGTCAATATATTTCAGTATGCACTATATGCATAAATACTGAGATACAATTACAACATCTCAATACAAAATGCATTTTTCTCATAGCAACTATCTATTATATAACAATTCAAGGTGCATGCAGGTGCACTTAAATTTCCTTGTTTAAGAAACTGACTTTATCTAAATAAAATTAAAATGTTCAAAAGGATTTAATAATAATTGGCACTAGATTAGTCCAATCTACTTTAAGGATACACTGTATACATGTACATCATATTGACCAGAATTCTATAATTATTAGTTAATGAGTCACCACACCACAGAGATTAAAGTTTATGACTACATCACTACATGTCCAATAATATTCATTGTGTATTGCATCATAATATCAGTATGAAAAATTATTTCCTTAAAATACTTGATACACAACCTATCTATTTATATATTAAAAAAAAAACACTCTAGAGTATTTTACAAAATTGAGTTTGTATTAAAAATTCTATATTTCATTTCCCAATGAAGAAATTGGAATGCAATAATATATATCTATGTGTAAAATACCTGTGCATATATGTACGTCAAAATGCAATTTTTTTCATGTATTCATGTGTAAATGGTTGACTTCAAATCAATTTTATATACCAGGGTGTACAAGTACAGTAGATTTCTTAATCAAGCTATCCCCTAAGATATTTTGAAGACAGAAATGCAACAGATTTGAGAGCACTGTGAAATATATCTATGCTTTATAGGAAGAGTAAATTCCAATTTTAGGAAAACTCTGGTATACTTGTAGTATTAATTGTTCTCTCAAATTGAAAATGTAGTAAAGAGTTCAAAGAGTGAGTATACACTTCATATTGTATACTGCATAACAGTTATTTCATTTTTGTTCAAATGTACTACTTATGCCATATGTCTGTTACATGTATTATCAATATATGTACAAGTTCTACATGCATATTATGACAATTTTTTTTCAAATTGACTAAATCCTCAAACCTTTTCTTCACGAAATTACCTTTTTAATATAAAGTATATAAAGTAGATCTACTTGGAGAAATTTCTAAATTCACCTTCTTAAATTATATGGGGAATTTTACATACATTTGCTTTGTGCATAGTAAATAAAATCGCCCCTCTTTGATTGCTATGAAAAGAAATGTCCAATTTCCTTCTTCCTGGAAATTTCTGTCTGTACATTTGCTACATTTCATATATTGTGGATCACATGTCCCTATTGTGAGAAAGGTACATGAACAGTTTTAATGACAGGTATTCAACTATCTATAGAAAGCATATAGCTATACAATACAATGAGCCACAATAAGACCATGTGACACATCCATTCTTCATTTTGTCAGCAATGAATTTTTTCATTGGATTTTTTCTTTTTATTATTTATTTATCATACTTTTTAAAATCATATTAATTTTTATCGATATACTTTTTGTCCATATGGTTGGCTATACATTGACAACTTGAAAACATCATGATTTTGGACCCTTGATCTGAAAAGCATATAGGCACCCAGCTCATAGAATATGTCACCAATTAAGCAAGCTGGGTGTCTATGTTGAAAGGTTGTGGTTTTTGATGCAATATTGTCTTTACTTTTCCTGTTGCATTTTTATATAACAATACAATTGTTCATATGACTGGCCATATATCTTGTAAATGTTTTGATATATTCTGTGTCCACCTACAATTTATGCCAGGGAAATGTACAAGCAATAAGGTTTTGGAATGTTGATTTTAGCACTAGGGGGTCCAAATAGTCCTACACTAGCTAGTATATACATACAATAAAACTCCATTATAAGGATTTCACTGGGACCTCAAATTGTATGTGTTTCTTTATAACCAAGATTCTTAATATTCAAATAAGTCGAAATGTAGCAAAAAGTCCTCTTCAGGACTCGTAAAAGTTCCTAAAAACTGAGATTTCTTTATAAGTTCTTCATAACTGAGTATTAGTGTATATAGTGTTTAGAGGTTTTACTCTTAATATATAACCACACTAGTGTATAGGCATAGTGGTTTTATAAAACCACAAATTTGAAGAGAGGAATATTCATATTCCTTTTCGAGAGTAGCTTCATTTCCATGTGTAATTTAAACCATTTCGATGTAAAAATATTAATGCACATTCTCTCAATTTGCACTTGTTTAAAAAGTGATATGATCTTCAATTTTGCTAATGTATGACTGACTATACATTGAATTTATAAAAGCATTTCATAACAAAAAATAATGGAACGAAATTTCTTGCTAATTCTGACACATTTTTTGAGAAATCAAGACAAATAAGCTAATGAAAAGGGATTTCGTGACTATTATCAAAAGATCTCAAATGACCATATGTAGTATTCAAAAGATAAAAAAAAAATATCAAAATTAATTGCTTATGCCAACCATAGTTTTGTAAATGGAACTGTTCTAAATTTCTATTTGTAACCAAATTTAACATAAACAGTGCATGCTATTGCTTTGTTCCACATGTAGCTATAGAGTTGTCAATGTTGCCAATATGCATTCTAATTTAAAATAACCATGTTACAACAATTTCCCTTGAGTCTTAGGTTTCAAACTCTCTAATTATCAGGTTGACTATAACTTTGGCTAGGAAGAAAAATAAATTACAAATGTGTTCCAAATATTTTTATGCATGCAGTTATAAAAGTCCATTTCACTAACTATGTGTATAAAATTACCTGTTAAAAATTTAAATTCAATATAGAATGGATAAACTCAATATCTTAATTAATACAGTAAACATAATAAATACTGTCTGTTACAGATAAATGGATTGGTGTTTGTTGTATACTTGATTATAGCTTCTGTACTCTTCTACATAATTATGTGGTTCACAATGCATGACTACCCTGTCAGATAGTTGTAATGATATACATGACATTTCAAATGTCTTACGCGTCTTAAATTTGCTTTGTCTGTGTAAAACATGTACAGTGTGTATCTTTCAGTAGGGCTGGGTATCGGCTGGGAATTTGTGTTATACTGTGATATATTGCGATATTTGGAACTGTATTGCGATATGTATTGCAATATTTTTTATAATGGATAAATGCTCTTTTCCTTTCTTTTAACCTCCATTTATAAGCAGAGTGTATAAAACTTTAATAAATTCATTGTTACAGAAAAGTTTTAGTTGATTTCACTACAGTTTGGCAATGAAATGCAACCATCCAACAGAAACCTTTACCGTTTGGTACTGTTTGGCACGTTTGAACACATTTCTGACATCTTAAATTTCACATTTTAATTTATAAATCTAAAGCCCAAGTATTTTGCCGGAATATCGGTACTGAAAAAACGTATCACAATACAATATTTTTTGTTAACGAATCGCAATATACCGGAATATCAATATTATTGCACAGCCCTATCTTTCAGAGTACAAGGGATTTGATTTCCTTTCCAGTTCTTTAATAAAACATTTAAAACCATATGAAGTACTTCTGTGTTTTTCCTCAGTTTATTTGAATAAAAGTTGCATTCTATTATGACCTCAATTGAGATGATTCAGATTAGCTTCCAATGTTGTACACTTCCCTAAGTAATACATGTAATTGTATACCCCTTGTATGTACAAGAAAACATGCCAATATGAATTTGAAATTATACTTTAATTCATGCATAAGCTCATTGGGTACTGAATCTGTCCATTCCAGTACCTGAAAAGGAATGACACTGTCATTGCCCTGTGTAAACTGCATATACACTCAAACCTTGTTATCTCAAACTCGATGGGACCAAGAAAAAAATTCAAGATATCTGAGATTTTGAGATATTGAGGGTAAAATACATGCACTTTAAAGAAAAAAAGCTTGGGACTTCCAAATCACTTTGACATATCCATGGTATTTGAGATAATTTTACACACTAACTTGACCTGTGCATTCTGAACAGAATGACATGAAGTACCTAATAGGTCAGTCACACCAGAGGTCATATTTGTTGACTCAATGATGTTACAGACATGTATCCTTGTGAGTAATCATGCATACTGAATAATAAAAGATAGACCTAACAGATCAGCCCTGTTATTGGTGAAATATTTCATAGATTTTTTTCCTTATCTAATTTAGCGATATACAGTTTGTTTGCCATATAATTATAACTTTGCTGAAATTGCCTCAATTGAATACATCTATGGTGGCCATATTTCAATACTGGCTTTGAGGAGGATACTTGAAGTTCATTTAAAAAATAAGCAATTTTTTTCTCTTTTCAGAAACAAGGGACATGCATATATACTAGCTAACAAGATAGGCAGCGCCATATTTAATTTGCCCAAAATGTCACACATAACAAGTTTTTCAAACTACATTTAACCCAGTAGAAAGTATGTTTTCTGGTAAATGTAACTGGTTCTTCTTGTTTACTGGAATGATTTTTTAATGAATTTTAAAGCATATTGTAAAATAATTTAAATATATATCAAACAACCATCAAATTTGGCAAATTCTTGGAAATATGGAAACAGTGCTAAAAACAAATCATGAATAATTTTTTGATCAATAAATAAAGGTTTTGTTCTGGAATATCTGACAGCATAAGAGAACTATTTAAAATTGACTTACGAAATCTCCCAACTTTCGAGATATCTCAAGACTTGCCAGAGTTGCCTATTCCCTTATTATATACGTCCCTGCATAAAGCAATCTCTCTGCAGACTATTTTTTTTTAATTCAGCAAATTTTTTTTTTAAGAGAAGGGGATATTCCTTTGACAGAAATGTTTATAATTATCATCTAAATTATCAGTGCAGTACAAAGAATCAATGAAATCTGAGTGTGCAGACACTGTGTGTCTGAATGCATTAAATCTGTGTAAGCAATATTGTTTAAAGACACGACTTATTTGTAATACATTATTAGTATGTATTTTAATCAACAAGGTTATTTCGAACGTTCATATGATCAATATTGTTTCCGTATGAGGTGTTTCCGAGCAAATTCGGACAGGAACAAATAAGAAAGATATGCCTTCATTTTCCAGCAAAATCCAATAAATCAATAATAAATTAGTGCTAATATTGTAATTCTCAAACCTCTTTTCCGCTTTCCTTTTCATTCCTCGAAATATAAGATATAAAACTGGACATCTCAGTTTTTTCAAAGACTCATGGTTCGGATTTCTGTTTATAAACCGACTTCCTGCTGCTGATAGGAAAACTAGTTTCCGTATCCTGCTGGCGAACCAGTTCATCTCGCCAAAAAATGTACGCCTAGGGGACATATTGTAGCCACATAAATCTTGACGTTTTAAAAGTATCTCTTCATTGATAAAAAAATTTTTCTTATTTCTATATACACTGTACTGTAATTAATCAAAAGTTATTATTGCTTGACCCATATGGGTGCATTATGCAATAAAGAAATATATATTCTCTATTGAGAAGTTGATGGCTCGTTTGAATTTACTATAATACTCAGATACAAGGGACCTATATACTAAGTATTAGTATATATACTAATACTTAGTACATAGGTCCCTGGTATTATATAGGTCCCTGATAATACTAGTATTAAAACGAGCCATCAACCTTTCAATAGAGAATATAAAGAAATAGTGTAGAAATTTTTTTACCCTGTTGTTTAACCTTCAACTGCACCTAAGTTTTCCGAGGACAGACACCAACTACACATTACATACCCGTAGCACGGGGGGGGGGGGAGGGGGGGTCCGGGGCTAGCCCCCCCCCCCACTTTTTCTGAGATTTTTTTTTTTGGATGTAGTCTTCAAGTAAATTTTCATTTGGAAGCAGCTTGCCCCCTCCCACTTTTTGTTGATGTACTGTCGAACACTGACAAAATCCAGCATTTGAAATGTTAGAAAAAGGTCCAACTCACTCCCACTTCCCAATGAAATAGGATTTTCGAGTTTTGGCAGTATACGGGTTGGGTTTTTTTTTAGCCCCCCGGGTTTTTTTCGGGGAGGGGGGCTGAAAAAAACGTTACGTTAATTACTGCACACAAAGTTGACAATCCTCCAGATAGGGTCCTGGGAAATATATATATATATATATATATATATATATATATATATATATATATATATATATATATATATATATATATATATATATATATATATATATATGGAAGATGAATAAGAATTTAAGAAGAATTTTATAAAAATAAAAAAAGAGATAAACATTAATAGAAGGGTTATTCGTTGAAGTTACGAGTTATACCGAATATGTTGTATTAGCTACAATGAAATGTTCTTTACGGAAACTTACGTTAAATCTTTGTACGAAATAATCAGGGACCGCTCGGCGTGGGGGGGGGGGGGTAATAAGCAAAAAAGGAGAACGTAAAGTACCCAAATTTAAATTTTATTTCGTTGAAGGGGGTCCACTATTTTTCGATCGACAAAATGTTGGGGCAAACTAAACTTTCAATGAAAATTTTCATACTCAAATTTGCAAACAAAGGAATAGATACCGTGAACATTAGTAAAATTCTTAAACATAAAAAAAATTCAGTGTTTACATTACACCATATTTCAAGTTGAAGTCTACACCATGCATTTCCAAACTTTTCAATTATAAACAAACATCAAAAGTTTCTCCATTATGTACAGCTGTGAGTAGTAAAGACAGGGGCTTGGTAGAGCACTTGCTCCATTGACTTTCATGTCCTCCCCAATCACTGTGATCAATCTAAAAAAAAAAAAAATAAAAAAAAATACAAATCTGTAAACAGGGCATAAAACACGGACCCCTGGAAATTCCACAGGTGGGATCAGGTGCCTCAGAGGAATAAGCATCCCCTGTCCTGCATGAACACTTTGTCAGAATGGATTAAGTGTTTTAGAAAGAATCGTGTTAGAAAGTTAAAAACCAATATACGAACCATCTATCATTCTCTTTTCACTAAATCGGAGGTAATAAAAGAATTAGAAAGACTACATAAACAATATGTTATGGTTCCAGCAGACAAAGCTTGTAACAATATCATCTTTGTTTGTAAGGCTCATTATTACAACTGTATTTTAGAAGAATTTGGTTTTAATTCTACATCTGGAATTAAAGCCTACTTATACTCTTAGTTCACTTTCTAAGGAGGAAATTCTTCAAAATCACATCTGGGTCTTCAATACTTTTAAGTAGGTGAGTTCGATCTTCCTCAACTTCATAAAAATCCCCAGAAACAAAGATAGATTGCCAGATCTATCCGACTATGGCACAACTCTCAACATTTTTTAACAGACCGTTTTGAAAATAAATGAGCCATCATAAAATTCTGAAGGGCCGTTTTAAGAAATAACAAAATGACAAAGAAATATATGTACTTCATCATACCTGTATTCGAGAAAGTTATGAGAGAGAGAGAGAGAGAGAGAGAGAGAGAGAGAGAGAGGGAGAGAGAAATCGAGTTTTGCTAAAAAAAAATATTATTTTTATCTTTTTGACAGAAAGGCACTATATAAGCATTGAACGATGACATCAGAACATTCAAAAAAAAAGTTTATGACGTCACTAAGAGAATACGTCATAATAAGAACAAGTGCTCTACGTACAACTTACAACTGTCATTTTTCGACTGTATTGCATAAATAAATAACGCAATAAATAAATAAGTAAATAAGGATTCACTGTATAAGCTCTCAATAAAGTATTTCCTAATACAACTGTAGAAGGTCAAATTGGGTGGTTAGGTTTTTGTTTTTGTTTTGTTTTTGTTTTTGTTTTTTGTTTTTTTTTTTTTTTTTTGTAAAATCTAGTGCTAACCTCAACAGTATTATAATCAGTTTTAAAACAAGGAGAGAAATTGTTATAGTAATTTAATTGGTATTTTAGATCCATCTCAATTCATCACTGCACAGTATTCATACATTATAAATAGTTTAAATATTGTTAAGTACATTACATCAATTTCTACTCTGTTGGACCGTCTTAATTAATTGACGTTTACATTTTCAGTTATTCGTTTTTTCTTTAAATAATCATGACAAATATATCAATATATTCATATTTTATTTACAGCATCAGAAGCATTTGAAGGATGTGAACAAAATATGTCGTAATGATTTTGCACTTAACGCGCCATTTATTACATTTACAGTTTCAGTTCCTGTATCATGTTTACAATCATGTAATTATCGAAAATTAAAATGTACACAATAAATTATTTTTCGTAAGGTTATATAAAATTCACAATGACATAGTTTCAACTTCACGAAAATGTGCAGAGATTGCAAAAAATTGTGCATACCGAGTGCAACGGGTAACACAATGGTAAAATTCTGTGCTTCAGTGGTGGTCTTCAAGACCGAATATTTCTGTGTTTATCCCATATTAACAATTGTTTTTGAATTCCATGGTTTCTTGAAAGATTAATGTACACCATTTTACTCAGAGTCAGCTACAACACTACAATATAATGAAGAAATATGTAAAATTTTCATATCAAGCCTCTATTTTTCCCATACCGCGCCTGTGTTTTGACCTAAATTACAAGTTGATTATGCAGTTCTATGCGTTTTAAATGTCTCTTATCTGTACTTAGTATATCTGAGTAGCGAATCAGGTTAAAAAATAATATCAAATATTTATATAAAGTATTTAAAATCTAAAAAAGAGTTTGGTTGAAAAGCACAACACCATTAATTTTGTAAACAAATCTACGTGCCGACGATTTCTGCTATGGGAGCTTTCTCAGACGTCCGCGCTCTCAGTATAAATAACCACAGTCGATAATGCGCAGAAATTTCATTCAAATCAAGATTGCGTGAGTGTACACATATAGGATTAAAAGATGTCAGAAACGGCTGCCGCAGAACCAGAAACCGTGGACCCTAAGCCTGAGACTGAAAAGGTCGGAAAGGCCACCAAAGCTGCAAAAAGTCCGAAAAAGAAGTCTGTTAAATCCAAAAACAAGACGCCACTGAATCATCCTCACTACCGGGAGATGATCAAAGATGCATTGACCAATTTGAAAGAGAGGGGAGGAAGTTCTCGACAGGCAATTCTAAAGTATATTATGAAGAATTTTAAAGTGGACGATGAGAAATCGGCAAACAATCATCTGAAAATGGCTCTGCGCGCCGGTGTAAAGAATGGGTCTCTGAAACAGTCTAAAGGAACCGGTGCCTCTGGGTCATTTAGATTAGGAGAGGGAGCAAAATCTCACAGCAAACCAAAACCAAAGAAAGAGAAAACGACCAAGCCAAAAACGGAGAAGAAAGTGAAAAAGAAGCCAAAAGTGAAAGCCAAGGCAGAGAAGAAACCGAAAGAAAAAACAGAGAAGAAAACTAAATCACCGAAAAAAGCAGCCAAGAAAGCAGCTAAACCAAAGAAAAAATCTCCCAAAAAGGCCGCTGCAAAGAAGTAAATTTAGAACTTAAAGATGCCGGTGTAGAGAGACGCTGAAAACATTTCGTGCTCTTTCAGTGCAATATTTGTCCTGTTTTATGTTGTCTCATTCGGGAAATACGTGCCATGGACATCAATGAAGGACCAAATAAGTGTAAAATAGTGCTAGTTCATTGTAAGGTATTTTGCATTTCAAAGAATTCATATGTATATACTCATTATAATTACTTTTAAAAAGTATGTCATTTTATATCTTGTTCATCAACCTAAGAACAGTATTCAAAACTTTTCATCACATAAAGATTGTATTAAGTTTTGAACTGGGTTTTTTAAATTATTCCTTTGTTTGTCTTAATGTTTTTCATATCTTCTACGAATGAAATTAAAAAATTTAAAAAATATATATCAAAGGTGTTGGAGTTATCCTTCCTTCGACATCGAACGTCTATGTTTGGACGGAAAGCATAAGGCATGGAAATCATGAGAAAATATCAATGAATATACATGTGTTAACAAGTGGAAAATAGTCAATGTGACATAGAACCAGGTGTTCTCTATTTGAAAAATAATGGTAAATTTCGCATTTGCAAGAGGTTATTTCCATTTGTCGGCAAAATACCCATGCATTTTTCTCGCTATATCTTTTGTAACTAACCTGTAATTTTTTTTTTTTAAATATTTAAAGGTCTTCTGACGACTTTATAAAAACCTTTATTGTCAATGAATAGGGCAACAAAGAACATTTAATTAACATACACATATAAGTTAAAAACAAAATCAATGTGCCCTAATAGTAAATTTTGCATAGAAATAACTAAGTTCAACAATTGGCATTTTCCCCATAAATGATCAAGATCCAAGTACCATAGCATGCACATTTCTACATCTTTGATAGATGTAGATCTGCAAAACAAAAATTTCTTATTTTGAAACTTTAGAGTTATCCGGACAAATGATATATCTTATTTGCGCAATATTTTGCAAAAAAAAAAAAAAAAAAACTACTTGTAAGTTCAACAGCTGGTATTTTTTCGTATATTTATCAAAATCCAAGTAACATGGAAATCTCTATTCTAATCGTATGTACTACTTATCTGCAAAATAAAAAAGTTCCTAACTTGAAAACAGTAGGAGTTATTCGGACAGATCGTGTACCCTATATGCAATATTTTTCTCATAGATATTAAAAATAAAAATTCAAGTACATGTAATATGCACATCTCATACATATGTACAATTGATCTGCAAAATGTAAAAATTCCTACCTTGAAAATTGTAGGAGGAGTTATTTTGGCAGCCGCCCTTCCGCCATTTTCACCATTTCAATAACCAGATTTTTTTCTATGGAAAACCCGATTAAAAACTAAACTTATATGTTACAAAGGGAGAATATTATATATATATATATATATATATATATATATATATATATATATATATACATATATATATATATATATATATATTAGTGTTATAAAATCGGACGATTTTTAGTAACCGGTTACTCGCTTACTTTTTGCTTACTTTGTGAAGTACCCGGTTACTCGGATGGTTTTTCTTTGGGCCTCTAAACACCCTTGCTAGTGGTATATATTCAATAGTAACCATAATATATATAACGTCTTTACAGTTTCCACATTTATCATTCATAAAGCAGAAATGTGCGTATTTACACTTTGTCTATCTATTTTCATAATTACAACACCTTGTAAATAAATTCATTTTCGAATATCCCCTAATGGACTTTGCGAGAAGCACTGACTTTTACAGCCGACGACTTACTTTGACATTTAAACCTACCTTATGTACGGAGGTACGGAACTGATAAAAGATAAGAAAACTTTAATAGTGGTTAATATAGATATTTTGTTTGGAGCGCTTGCATGATTAACTGGTATGTAATCAACACAAGAGATGATGGGAGGCAGAATTACAAAGCTTAAATTATTTATTCGTGAGGATTATTATCTCCTTTCAATCTCATTTTCTGAAGGAATCAAATAAGGAAGAAAAATCATTCCGGAAGGAAAACTCAGCAAGAGTTGGTCAATGAGGGAAGGGAGGGGTTGAGGTAGGGTGGTTGCCGTTCCCTTCCTAGACAACGTAATATGTTCTTTGAAATGGCCCATTATTATCGTTTAATTAACAATAAAGCTTAGTTTTTATATCGAAAAAGAGCTTCCATATACTGTCCTAGTGTAAAAGCAAGCTGTCGACTGTAAAAGTCGGCGCTTCTCGCAAAAGTCCATTAATAGGGTGTCCTATATATATCTCTGGTTTCATTTAATACGGTATACTTATAATTAACTCAGGTCTTCAAAATTTGTATACCCCTTGGCAATCAAAGCATTAATTAGATGAACTGTGAAAACTAAGTGTAATCAAAACAATCGATCAAATTTGTGAAATCCTAGATTAAATCCAACTTTATGTTACGGTAACATGTGTAAATACTATTTCATTTAGGAATAAAATAATGTTTTTTCACTTTTGTCTAATATATCCGAGTAACCGAGTAGCAGTTTTACTAACCGATAATCGCAACGTTCGAACCGGTTACTCCTTGACAACACTGACTAATATATATATATATATATATATATATATATATATATATATATATATATATATATATATATATATATATATATATATATATATATAATTGATTTATTGATTTTGTTGCCTTATGCCCTGTTGGCTGGGCTTTTGGCCCTAAGGCTGATGTAATAGTAATGAACATTTGATGACTAGAAACAAGTAATTCACAGTTGGGCCTTTTTTTTAATCCTACCAATGCTTACAGGACGTATCCCCCTCCAAGCTTATAGTACCCCTTCCTTTGTGGTTTGTTCGAACAAGGGGGAGGAGGATCATAGTATTGTCCTGTAACACATGAAATGGTTGAAATGAACCCTTCCTGGCTATACTCCAGAGGAGCTTAAATCGTTTAAAGTTCCTCGACAAGGCGTCGATTGATTGATTGTACGTTGTTTTACGTCCATTCGAGAATTTTTCACTCATATAGAGATGTATAGGTGAAGGGTGAAGGGCTTCAAATTTAGACCTTTACTAAGCACTCAGTGCCATTGAGCAGTGCGAGTTCTCTATCGTGCCAACACCTACCGTGACACGGGGCCTCGGTTTTTAAGGTCTCATCCGAAAGACCCTAACTTTCACTTTCACTTCAAAGAGCCGAACTTACATTAGGATGCGAAGCGCTCTGATAGTGCAGTTTACTTTTTTCGAAAGACAAAGAAGAGCTAGCGAGAAAGGGAATGACTTGTATATAAACTTTAAATACATAAGTTTTGGGTTACAAATAATTTTTCCTGAATATTTTCTTTCAGTTAGCCGTCTTTAGCTTTTTCTAACCTCCACCGCCCGTGCTTTTTAAACAATCTGTCACTAATACCAGCCGCTGCAGCGGAGGTTGCCCCGCCTGACCCTAGGCTAATAGGCTATGAAGACCAAATTTACTCTTATCTTACCCTATATTTCTCCAAAAGCATCTAAAAAAAATTTCTCAAGTTCTAGTATAAGATCTAGACAAAGGCCGATTATCTCTTCTAACTCTATATGCATTTGTATTTTTACAGAACGTCAAAGATCTGAATAAATATTCTGATGAATCAACTTCAGCATCCAACAATTTTATATATTCTTCTAACGTATACACAGGAAAAGAGCCGCGCCATCGACAGAAAGCATTGAATGCGTATCTTTATTGACTTAATGTATTCCCTGCTCTTGATTTGAGGCAGTAAGTTGGTAAAAGTGTCATATTATAATTGTTGTATTTACTATCACCCTGTAAATTCAAAAATTACAATATGACAACTCATATTGTAATTTTTGTATTTACTACCACCCGGTAAATTCAAAATTACAATATGACAAAAGGTCCCTTAGTTGCTGTAACCGCTGATCTTCAATCCTTGCACTATCTGACCACCGTCCCGTTTTAAATATATCTGAAGAATGTATATAACGGAATACACAGATTAATTTGAAACTAGTACAAAGTTCTACTCATGGTGTATCGGGATCCTCAATCAACTGCAATACACCGACTAAATATAGATGTATCAGGACCATATATCAACTGCATGCAATACATCTAACCAGTATAAACAATCTGGTGTACCAGGGCCCCAGCTCATCTGCAATACACCTCAAAATGTATAGATCTACATATACATGAGTTTATCAACAGACTTCAGCGTTCGATTTTTATTTTTCGTGTTCCCAGTTTTGGGTAAAACAGTCAATAGCTCCTGAGCCAGGATTCTAAAGTTTTGAATTATACCGTCCAAACTTATAATTATTATAATTTGAAATCTGTCAACAGTAAAAGTTCCGAACAAATTGTTAACGAATTCAAAAAATGTTGCAGTAACACCCAATCATCGTGATCTATGATATTACTTAGAAAATCAGCTCTATCATTTTCTAGTCTGGGAATCCATTAATTGTATGTCAATTGAAATTTTCTGTTCTACATACATCTTGAAAATATTTTAAGCAAGAGATTGTAAATGATGTTTCATACTACCAGACTGAACAATTTTTACACAACTCTGATTGTCAGTGGACCATTTTACTTCTTTATTCACCAAACTATCTTTAAAGGAAGCAAAAGCTAATTCAATCGCTCGAAGCTCTCTCCAAGTAGAACTCATACCCTTCTCGAACTCTTTCCACATTAAGTGAAAAACTTTTGAATCCACTTCAACAGTGTAAGCTCCTGACGCTAGACTACTCGCATCGGAGTAAATGATGACACTTTTCTTTGTCCGTATGTGTAAATACCTTGTTTTTTCTGAGAAAATACATTGTAACCAAAAATTACATTCATTTAGAACCCCGTTCTTGTGTGTGAATACAATAACATCGTCTCACGACTTTCTAAATGCTATCTCTATAGAACAGAATCTGGTCATTATACTACATATGTTACCCATTACTGGTGACATTGACATAATCTTTCCGACCACTCTTGCCAACTCTCTGGCCGTCAATTTAGGAAATTTCTTCACTAGTTTCTGCAAACAAGCAACTTTGTCGTCAAGACGTCTTGTGGGCACTGAAATAGAAAATGACTTTGAATCCCAAGAAATTCCTTACCATTCTAAATTCTGGGTAGGGTAAAATACAGATTTTTC